CGGAGACGGATCTGTGAAAACGTTTTTGAGATATCATCTGTGTAGGTAATCAAACACGTTTAAGATCAAATTCGAACAAAATCTTACCAATTTCTCAACAGGATCAAGTACACCTAAGACTTCAACCTTGACCTGTCTCTGTGTGCCGTCATGACTAGTAGTGCCCAAAGATATGACACCAACTTCAACTTTCTTCCCGACCCCACCAAGTAAGCTCATATGCTGATGAATGGCTGACGTGCAGACCGCTCTTAGCCAAGTAAAGAGGCCTTTTACATACAAGTTATCAACTTTCACCCACTGAACGACATTTTGTACGTTTGTTTGACACGCCCAGTGGTATATTAGTTTGAGTAGCACGCTTGGTGGGAAGGTTGCCCCTTCAAATATAGAGCTGGAGTACACAGAGACGAATCGCGTTGGACAGCATTCTGATATCCAGACGTAGCCGCCTGAGTAGGGGAACTTTGATACGTCGGAGTACATTCCTGGAAAATGAAATTGTTACATTTTTAGGTGATTGCCTTAACTGTATAATGCAGACAGGTTCATTTATGGATGCTACTTTAGAAAAAATATGCAAAAATAATAATTGCAGTCCGTATTTGTTGCTGTTCGCAAGAAATATTAACTGTTCCGGAAGCCCAATTAGTCCCCTCCCCAATCCCTGAATCCCCAACAATCCTCAAATTCCTAATCCCCAAAAGGTCGGTAACGCACTTGAGGTGTGTGAACACACTTATGGTGTTCCATATGTCCATGGGCGGCGGCGATTGCTTACCATCAGGTGATCCGTCTGTTCGTTTACCGGCTTATTCCATAAATTAAATCTGCATTTTGGTAACCAAATAAATCTGTCTCAAAATACATTTCATGTTGAAGCCAAAAATTAAAAACTCACCAAGTTTAAGTTTATTCCCGGAATGTATGACGCACCACTGCTCGGACCGGACGAGGCCCTGTTGTATGAGCCACTCCGTGAACTTCATCGGAGTGTGCATCAGTACTGACTTCACCTTACTGTCTAGTGTCGTGCGGTCTGAGGGAGCTGTCGAGTCCTTGGAACGGAGGTAGGGCCGCGCCACTACGACTAATGAGGGGAATGTCTTGCCTGCGGGAAGAATTACAAATCAACATTTAAATTAACAACTTTTTTTCAAGTGGGGAAAATCATCGAATGTCTGCTCCCGCCTGGGTGAGTGTCAGACTCTTACTGACTAGTTAAAAACCACCCCGTTCCTTCTCCTGCAATTCGAGCCGGACCCCCAGTAACCCGTTAGGTTCCCCGCGACTAAATTAACAACTTAAGTGAGGGGGATCCATATTTCGGCAAGAGCTCGCGGCCACGGCCTCGGCCAGAAAACCGACGTGAAACAACGCTTGCGTTGTGTTTCGTAGTGTGAGTGAGGTTACCGGAGGCCCAATTAATTGTTGAACATACCTTGAAGTTTATTGAATGACACCTCTCTAGAATCAGCAACGTTCTTATTGCCATCATCTTTAGTCAGGTCAACGATGGCAGTGGTCTTCGTAGCACTGCCTGTCAACAAGCCTCCAATGGCTGTGGCCTCGGAGGGACGCACGTTTGTGACCACGCTGTGTACATCTGTTGGAGAATTGTACAATTTTTTTTAACTTCATCACAGGTATCATTTGAAAGTTTTCTTTAGTATAATTAAGCTATATTTTGATTTATTTCTCATCAGAAATGTGTAAATATAAGCTGATATTAATAGCTTCTTAACCAGACATTGGTAAACTTTCATTAAATGGTGGAGTTTCTTTCTCATTCTTTTGCATATATTATGAATCTAAATTTTTTAACAAACATCTCTGATGAAGGATTCTATTTTAACGTTTCAAAAGTACTTGTACCATTAAACCACACGGTTTAATTGAAATAAATTCTCTATCATTGAAATCTCCAAAAGTATACTTACTTGAAGGTGCAAGAGTCTTATCCTTAGTCTTAGTATTCTCCTTGTCTTTTTCTTTCTCCTTTTCTTTCTCTTTAAGCTTCTCTTTGTCCTTCTTCTTCTTCTTATGTTTAACTTCTGGAGACCTATTCCTCTCTGGAGAAGGTGAGTAGTCCCGATCCTCCTCACGATTCTTACGAGGACGACCTGGGTGTTCGAAATAATTCAGTTTATTGTTTTGGTTTTTGTATGGTGGCCTGCAGGTCAATCTAGGCGTTACTGTCAAATTGCTCTAATTTTATTTTAATTTTTTTTGTTTTTTTTTTTATTGCACAACAAATTTAAACTAATTCCTAAGAGGCCATGTACAAAATATGATAAGAATCCGCTTAACCATTTCAAAGATCTTGCAATATCAAAAACGTTACCCCAGCAAAATGTCTAATAACTTCGTAACCGATGAAAGAACAAATAATACAAAACAAGGCACAACATTTACTTTATCTAGACAACTAATTTTATAGCTAGGAATTATTTAAATATTCCCATTAGAAAGAATAAGGTCTGGCTGGGGTAATGTTACCCCAGCAGGAAATGTTTTTGTGAAATAATTAAAAAACGATAAGCGCAACAAAAATAATGTGCGCAACAATTACAGAAGCCGCACAACTAATTATCAATAAGATTCAAATGACCATTTTCGACAACATCTGGCCTGGGTAACACACACTCTTAGTGGTAAGCGATGATGCGGTCTACAATGGAGCTTGTCGTCCCATAAGCAACCTATTTATTCACTCGGGCCTTAAAGACACCCGAGTTATACATATATACCCTTCAGGAAATACAGACTCTGGCAAATAATTCTACTCCAACATCTATTACATCTTCAACTTATTGTTTGACATAAAGTCGAAAACCCAATGAATAAATTTTACAGTCGAAAACCAAATGTTGATCCGTTGACCGCTGTAGTATTATTGGTAACAGTTAGTCATGTGTTTTGGTTAGAGATAGTAGTAAGAGGGAATAGATAACATAACAAAGACATAATATGTGAAATTAGAATCGACATGATGACATATACTTTGTTTTGCGAAAACCAAGTTCAAATAACAGACATGACAGTGTGTCATAGGTCATATAAATTAAAATATTCTCATGATAAGCACACTTCCCTTGAACATTGCTTGTACATTCACAAACATAACCTCACACCTGTCTTCCAGGGGGTAGGCAACATCAATTGTTATGATTCCTAGATTCACAATGTATTCTATTTACCTATATTGTTCCACTACTAATTATTATAATTATATTATCTGATACTAATACAAATTAACTCTTCGAGTACCGTCATTATAGACACAATTATAGAACAATAGGTTGCGGTCACCAGTGACCGCTTTGTGTATGACAGTTTAATGTAATAATCCTATTCAGTATACCTCTCTTTCCAGGTTTCTCCTTGGAGATTGACATTGAACGAGACCTGGATCTAATGATCTCAGCACTTTGCCTTTCCAAGTCCTTCAGTACAGGTTGCCTGGAAATAAATAGATAGGTGTTATTTGAAGCTTTTAAAATTTAAGCATTCTCTGTATAAAAGGGATTAGCCATAATTGTCGCTCTTAGCAAGCAGGACAGATGCCAGTGTTTTTTTTTTACATTAAAAGTAATAAAAATGAGACCTCTTTTGTTGCTCTTATAAGTTGGTTCATTTGAGCTAGACAATCAGAGCAACAAATGCTTACATATCGCACCTACGGTGCAATATCGTCACTTATGCAATTTTTGTCAAACCTTAACTGATGAAAGAATACTCCAATTTCACCTCTTTACTTGGTGCGTTATTTATTGTCATTTGTGTAGTAAGCAAACTGACATTGTGAGGGCATTACTGTCATTACGGTTTTGGCGCTAATCTGGACGGCACTAGGAAAAACAACGTTTCATTGTTCAGTTGCGCGCGGGCCCCCGCAATACATAAGTGACGGTATAGCACCGGGGGTATGATATGTTTAGGTTAATCAGAGAGTGCTGCTGCCTGGGAGCTTGCTCTTGAATCTAATTCCAATAATTAATATTGTGAAATTTCATACTCAAGTTCCCACACTAGCACCAATTTCACTCATATAGTGCTAATAGTATCGAGTTTGGCTTTATATATCACCCCTGTGTACCTTGAATGGTACTTTAATAGCTTGTATAGTTATGACATAAAATAGAGATATTGACATTCTATTGGATTTGGTATTATAATTAAATTGACATTGAGATTGGTTTCAAGAATAAGCGCCCTGGTCTCTACTAAATGTGTTTTAAGTATGTACATAAATAATAGTTGACAAAACAACTTACTTCCCAAGCAGTTGGTAAGCAGTGAACTGGTCTCCATTGTACACAATTTCACCACCAGTGTCCTTCACCATCTCATCCAATCTATTCTGAATACTCTTGTATTCATCATCAGCATTCTTATAAGCTTGTAGTTGAGCCTCAGACAGTTCTTCTTCCCAGCACTCTAGTTCTAGTGTAGGAACATCAGGACCGAAGTACGACCGCTTGTAAAGATCGGCCTCTATAATTTCCGCTTGAGGAGGCACCACTGGCGGTACAGTCTCCTAAAACATCATGAAAGTATGCATAAAATCGATACACTATCTGGTTTACACGTTGCGGTTGCTGTTTTACGAAAGGTATTCATGATATTTGGTGTCTGATAGTATACGTGAACGGAGATTTTAAGCATCAAAGTGTAGTAATGCCGAACACTGTTGACCCTGGATGAGCATGTAAACAAACGAGTTTTTGGCACGAAACTCACCTCAGTGTCAGTTTTTGGCTTTTTCAGCTTCATGGTCATAAGATCTTTAGCATTCCATACGCAAGTAGTTATTGATTATGCCTTATTTTGCTAAAATATATAAATACACAAACCAAGCATCGGATGCCTTTTGACCACAGACTACTTATACTTACTACTACTAAGTACTACTACGTACTTTTGACAGGACAAAACTTTTAGTCTGTATCATAAACAACGAAATTTTTTTCATACGCGTACTCTCGGCTTCTTTACTAATTAAACTCCCGAAAAATAGAATTTTAATTAAATGTTTTGCAATAAAAATGAAATTGCTTTGCAAATAACTCATACTTGAGTTATTTCATTAAATTTTGTCACAATGAAATAGTTGTTTTCTGATAAAAATAATCAGTAAGTGCTAAAACCGGTAACGATAGAGCTATATTCAAAACAAAACGGAACACCTCTAAATTAAAAATACAAAAAAATGACAGTGGAACAAATAGTATAATTTGTGATGAAATTGTTTTACCGAGTGAAAAATAGTTGAAACAGGTAAAAACAGCTTTGGTAATCATGGAAGCCGTTCCAAAATTACCTATGATAAGTTTTGAGCTGAAGGTGAGCCACGAGAATACGCATTTTGGACCTAAATTGAAACAGGTAAGTAGGACTCGTAATCTCTGATAAAGTTACTTTCATCATTTCTTTGTTGTTTTTCTACGTTGTGTTTCTTTCAGTACATCGCGGAAGCTTATAGGGAGGATCCGGACAGCTATAGCAATGAGATCCATCAGTTGGAAGGTCTGCGGTCAGTGGCCGTACGACCTACTATTGATTCAGCGGGTTTGAGTGCCCTCATCAGGTACTTTTGCCAGCTGCGGTCGCTGCAAAGCCGTTTCCCTATGTCTAAAGGTCAACCCGCTGCGTGTTCCTTCAGCTGGTAAATCTAATTAACAGTTATATCACATTTAAATTCTTATTGATTTTCTTTGAATGTATGAATGAATCATGATTCCTGCAAAGTTGTTTACATGATGTCTCATGATGTTGATAACATCATTGTCTGATAAAGAGTTTAAAATACTTTTGTTTTGAGAACAAATGTGTGCTTGTAAACTTGTTTGAATATTTGTGTTGTGGAATGAATTCACATTGCCACTATAGTAACTAATATAGAGAAAATCAAGTGATTCAAGGCATTCAAGCTATTGTGATTCATTCATAAATTTTACTTGTCATATGACCTAATTTAAAAGGCAATAATTAAAAAATTAAAGTATTTATAGCAATAATAATAACATTAATGTTTGTAACATTTTACTTAAACCTATTAGACCTTAATTAGTTACATGTCAAACACTATTAGCCTGACATCTAATTAGAATACAAACAATGAAAAACATGACAGAATCATTTTTACTTCTAGGAAAGACTTATATGCAAATATGAACAGAACACTAGCAGACATAAGGTTTGAAATGGCTAGCATCCTTTACAATGTAGGGGCACTCCTCACTCAACTGGGAGCTTCAGAACCAAGGAACACGGCCGACAGCCTCAAGGCAGCTTGCACCAACTTCCAGCACGCTGCGTGGGTGTTCCAGTACTTACGGGAACAGTTACCGCAGCCATCCGGAGTGGATGTATGCTCCGAAATCATGAGGATGATGCAGGAGATTTGCTTTGCTCAGGCACAAGAATGTATTTTGGACAAAAGTATTCAGGATACAAGGAAGCCAAGTGTTGTTGGTAAGATATGAAATAGCAGTCTTTTATTCTGGGGGTACCAGTATAAAGTTGAACAAATTGATCATGACACTTCTTAGCTACTTTCTGTCTTTTTAATTACATTATGAGTCAAATGTATTAGGGCTTTTAAGGATGCACTGTAATTGGAGGCAAATCTTTTGCTGCCACATTCAGATTGCTGCTAACTATTAACTCGTCGAGTACCGGTTTTGTAGACACAATTATAGAACAATAGGTTGCGGTCACCGGTGACCGCTTGGTGTTTGACAGTTTAAGAATGATTTAAAAACTTACCACTTCTTTGTGAAATCGGTAATTTTATTTATTTTGTCTATTGTGCAGATTGTGCTGAATAAAACTAGAACAAAAATTAGTCAATACAGTAGGAAGACTATTCATTTAGTTTTGTGCTTAACATGTAATCAGGTTCTTTATGTAAAAATTTTACATCATTCATCTTTAACAATTCGGTCAATTATGAATTATCTTTTATTGACATTAGAGTAGATAACAATTGAGGTGATGGCAAACGAAATTATCTTGTCAAACATCTTTGCTAAAGGAGAGGTGACGAAAAATAAAATGCCTTCTTGAGTGATATGTATCAAATGTTATAGCTTTGATTTGTCTAATTCATGTCTTTGTTTTATTTTTAAAAAATGTCGCCTCATACTAAGATTGTCTCCTGTGATGTGGGTGGGTGGATGTGTTACAAGTGAATTAATTTTGAAACATATAAACCACATATCCTTTAGAGTGTGTATCATTAGTTTTTCGTAACATATTATTATTATAGCTCTTATGTCCTCTACATAAGGCCTATAGTCCAGATCATAATAAGAATGATTTATTGTTGCGGTCAATATGATGATAATGATTAGACCTAATTCTGATCAAAATATATGTTTGTTCTACAGGTGCTGTAGCAACTCAAGTGATGTACTTCTACAAAAATTCCCTAGCGTTCTTGGGCCCATCTTCAGGCATTGATGTTGTCCATGAGATTATTGGGACGAAGTTGTACAATTACTGGCACAGATACCTCTCGTTCAAGTTTTCTTATATTGGCTGCGTTGTTTGCTTGTACCAAGGTGAGTTATTTGTTTTTTACTGGTAAAGTAATATGACTACCAGACTTTACTGGTTAATTCCCAAGCGATCACTGGTGACTGCTTTCCAATCACTGCATTATACACCTTATTTCCGATATTTAAAAGTAATTTTGTATAAGCAAACTTTGGGGATTTTCGGTATGTACGATATCTTAAGTGATTAATGTTCGAAATTTAACTGTCCCATAGACGTAAGGATGTTGCATCTTCATGTTGCAGTTTGATTTAACACTTAGTAAGTTACTTCTTTTAATCAGTTTAACAAAAGATGTTTTAGCTTGTTACATACAATTTCATACCTGTCTCCTCTTGTGGTAGGCAATTGAACACAAACTGACTATGGTGTTCACTATCTAAGAAAATTAATCTAATTAGTCTGTCAGATACTGAAATAATATTAGCCACGTATTTTATTATATAAAGTGTAAATTTACAATACAGATAAAATGGCTTTAAATAAAGGAGTTACGTCACAACGTGCTACAAAATGTAGCATACTGTGACATCATACGACATTTCAAATTAATACATAATTATATCGTCGAAAGTATTCACTTTTGTGAGAAAGATATACGTGTTTAATATTTCAAATTAATCTACAAGACGGACATTAAAATATAATTTAGGATACTTAATTCTTTTGGCTTCTCAATTCACAATATAACTACGATTTCTCCTTGAAGTTAACGTCACAGTTTGTCATTGTGTCGAGTGTTAAAAGGCAAACATATGAATAGCACTATACCTCTATACAAATGACGCAGTTAAGATCAATGATCTGTGACGCGATTGGCTAGTATTGCCTTCGTTATTTACTGTAGACTGGAATAAAAATGTAAACTTAATAGTAGTCTTTAGTGTGCAAATAAGACAAGTTAATAATGTAAATTAACAATTAACTTTATACTTTGGTAATATAGTCGATTTTAGGATAACAAGAATTGTTAAAAGATATTCGATAGTCAATCTGGATTTTGTTAAAATATGAGACAGATATAGACAGTTGATATTTTACTAACCTACATTCTAGTTTACGAAACTTTGCAATACATTATGCAATGACTATCACTAAAATATGTACCTTTCAGTAAATAACGACGTTTATATGTTAAAAACCAGAATCTTGGATTAAGATCAATATTTGTATGATTAGTAGTAGTTTCTTTTTTTTCAGTTTAGGTATTAAAATGTTATTTTCCTTGTTCGTTTGTTTAGCTTTTTTTCTTTATCACTTAAAATAGTAAAGTAAATCTATCATTGGCGACTGTATTGGTAAACCCAATACATATTGTTACCTTTGTTATTTCTTAATACTATGTAATACAGAAGCTGTTGGTTTACCTATTTAAATAAATAAATTAGTTTAGTTGATTTTAATGATAGTTTCTATCAAAAACGTCGATCGATCCGGAGATTTAATATTATATTCGCGCGGTTATTTATTTTGGCTATTAGATTATTTTGTTTAAAAATAAACACAGTAAACCAATAGGGTTTTTATTTTAATGTCTCCTCACTTGGCCTTTATAATATTAAAGAAACTCTATTTTTTGACCTAATTTATCCAAAACTAAAACAAACTATATTACATACCACTTAATTTACCTATCACAATATTAACACATCATCTATTTTATCTCACCAGGGATGAACGCCGAAGAACAACAGAAGATGGGCGAGCGGGTAGCCTTTTACCAGCAAGCTGTGGAAAAATTAGCAGACGCTAGAAAACTAGCCAAGTACATTGAACCGACACAAGTGACGCAAGAAGCTCTCACGTTCACCAACGATGTGGTTGAAGGGAAGAGAAAAGCTGCTAAGAATGAAAATGAGTTTATTTATCATGAGGAAGTACCGGAGAAGGATTTGCTATCTGATATGAAGCCGGTCTGCCTTGTGAAGGCTCTGCCGATTAACTTTAACGATCCTGAGGTATGTTTGACCATGTTACTCCCGAATAATGAAAGGCTACTCAAATTTAAGTTGTGCTTGTTGAACCCATAAAACTATGTAACTAAAGAATTGTATTGTGAACCTGATTGAAAAAGAGTAACCTATCAGATTTGTTGCTTGATCTTCTCCATAGGAGTTTTTGACGACCACTATTTTTTGTAGACGTTCAAAAGTGCCGTCTTGGCTTACTCTTGAATCCAATTCCGATCGATCGACATTGATATTGTGAAAGATTGTGGAATTTGATACTCTTGAGTTGCAACACTAGCGCCCATTGCATCCGTATTGCGTGGATATTGAATGAACTAAATGGTATTGATTTGGCTTTATATCCCGTACTCTAAATGCTATATTAACAGCTCCGGTTGTGGTTGTATAGTTTTGACATTGCATAATAGGGTAGACGACTAATTTTTATTTTAATGTCCGTCTGGTAGATTACTTTAAATCATTACACACGTATTTTTTTTTCTTACAGAAACGAATACTTTCGACGATATATTGATTTGCAATGTCGCGTGACATAACTTTTATGTAAATTTTATACGTAGAAATGACGTTTTAGCCCCCACTTCTAAACTTTGATTCGTTTTATCTAAGTATTGTTTTATTATACGACAAAATAAAAAAATACGTGTCTAATATTTTTTACTTACCTAACTTACGGGCTAATTAGATTTTTAATTTTCATACCCTGTCGTCATCCCAATTATGGAGATTTTATTGGATTGAAATTGCAATGACATTGAGATTGGTTTCAAGAGTAAGCACCCTGGTCTAATTATCGTGCCATCTCTGTCATTGTACAAAGAATTTGTAGTGACAGAACTTTACTTAAGCGCGACTTAAAATTAAGTGGCGTTTGAGTTTGGACAATAGTTTTTATTTTATTAAATAGGGAGCAAACGAACAGACGTGATGGTGAGCAATCAGCGTCACCCATGGACATCCATCCTTATGAATTGTTGATCAACACAAGACTCGCAGTAACAACACAAGACTCGCAATTTAGTTGAACGTTTTTTTCTTGATGGTTTGCCTGTGCATATTACTATTTCTGTTGTGTTTCTATATGAGGAAGGAATATATATTTTTTTGGTTTTTCTTTCCTTATTAAAATTGTATGTTTTTATGTTTAGGATAATATAATATGGGTTTACTGTTTTTGTCCCTGACGCGGCTTGCGCACTGATAGGCTGACCGCAAATAATAAGTATTTAATAAATTATGTTTGCTAAACAAGTTGATGACAACATTCACAAGAAATAAATTCTATTTTTTATGCTTGTTACCAGGTGTCAGGAGCCGACGTGTTCTCTCGCCTGGTCCCGATGATGGCCCACGAGGCGTCGTCAGTGTACTCGGAGGAGAAGGCACAGATGTTGCGCAGAGTCGTCACTATGGTGGAGGCCAAGAACACTGAGCTCACTGAGTTCATGTCCTCGTTACAACTAGACCAGTTGGATGTCATCGATTCTGTTCAGAAGTGAGTTATTGTTTTATGATTTAGATTTGATAAATGGATTGATTGGAAATTTAAAAAAAATGTCCTATGTTTGTATGTAATGTAATTGTTTACTTTAAATGGAGAGCAATCTCAAAGTTCAATGATCTCAATCTCCAGCATTATTGTCTAATTGATTGTAACATCTGAGATTTTTTTTATTTTCTATATTTTGGTTTAATTCTTCTGACAGCCTTCTTTAGAAAAAAAATCAGCTAAATGTATCCTTATTTTTCTAGCAAAAAAGTTATAAATGGATTAAATTGGTATCACTATTAATCTACTTCTTGTATTCCAGAGTGCCACAAGAGATCGTGGACCGCTGCGCCGCTATGAACGCCAAGTCTGAGATCATTCAGACGTTGGTGGATTCAATGAACAACCTTGCTGAAGTCATTAGCGATGTCGAGGAAGCCTTGAGCGAAATCAAAGAAATTATACAGGTAATGTTATTTAAAATATGTGTGGATAGTGATATCGTTTGTATTTCGTAAGCAGTAAGGCGTTTATTGGTCCTTTTACAGGTTGGGTTATTTTGTGTGACGCTTTATAAAATTCTGAGTATTATTTTGTTAGATAAAGACAACCTACGTGGACGAGACCAGATTTAGTTACTGCACGCATGCCCCCTTTTCTGCCATATTTTTTGGTTTGGCGTATTTCTCATCCATTTTTTTAGCGTATTTATTGATATCGTCCATTCAACAGATTTTTAGACAACCTTAATTAATGTTATTCTTTAATTCACACATTTATTTTCAGGAGGAGATAACAAAAGAGAAGGAGTTCCAGAAGGTGACGGGTCCCCGGCCGCCGTCCATCATCCAGACGGAGCTGTCCCGCGAGGCGACGAAGTACGGCGAGGCGCACGCGCGCAGCACGGACAGCAACGCGGTGCTGCACAAGGCCATGACGCTGCACGTCGCCAACCTGCGCCTGCTGGCGCTGCCGCTCGACCAGCTCGCCGCCAAGATACCCAGCATCGACAACATCGGTGGGCCCACACTTACTCCGTGGGAATACAACATAAATAGGATATAAATATATAATACTGCCTGCCTCGTTGGCCGAGTGGCCGCAAGTGCGACGTTCGATTCCCGGGTCGGGCAAAGTATTACTGGGTTATCAAAAATCTCAGTAGTAGCACGGAGTCTAGAAATGTACCCGGTATATGGCAATAGGCTCACCCCCTATTTCATGGGACTCATAACATAAATAGTGAAAAGTGGGTGTTACATTGTACAGTGGCATCAAGTGCCGAAATGTGCACCTCTGTCTACCCCTTCAGGGATAAATAGGCGTGATGTTAATATAATACTGTATAACATAATGTTTTCCTATAATCCTCGAAGGGGTGGGCAGAGGTACATAATTATAATTTTCTTTTTATTTATTGGGTCACCAACAATTGTACACACTAGATCAAATATTATAAGTTACATGCAATAGATACATACTTTAGTGTAACAATCACTTAAAGGTAAACACCACACGCAGTAAGTAATGTAACATCTACTTATATTGTGAGCGCCAAGTAATAGCGCCAAGTAATAGTGCCAAGTAATAGCGCCAAAAAGCATTCCCCTCTTTAAAGGGGGTAAAGGATAATTTGCTCCCCTCTAGAGAGGGAAGGGGGGTACCATAATCATAGGCTTGAAAAGAAGTTAGTCACCAAAAATGTTATCCATGTTGATACAAATTTTGCATAACAAAAAGTAAAAATTATCTATTCTGGGCTACCATTACTTCTATAGAGATCTTTTCAATAATATGGCTTAATATACATCAACTAACATTTTCGAATTTGTATTTTACTATAATCATTATTCTCTCCTCCAGTGGGTCTGGACCGCGAAACGATGGCGGAGATGCGCCGCGTGGTCGGCAAAGTCCGTGAGATGCAAACTCAGCGCGACTCGCTCGTACAGCAACTGCGGGAGGCCGTCACCAACGACGACATCACCTCGCAACTGCTCGCCAGGAACAACGAGCCCAAGGAGGAGATATTCAAACAGGAGCTCAAGAAACATACGCCTACGGTTAGTGTGGGACTCTTGACCTTGACGATCAACATTTCAATGTTGTCAATAATGATGTCATTGAAAAATTAACTATAACACGTTGTGTTGAAGTTGTTAAAAATTATTAACGATCCGAGAATAACGATTAACTCGTCGAGTACCGGTTTTGTAGACACAATTATAGAACAATAGGTTGCGGTCACCGGTGACCGCTTGGTGTTTGACAGTTTAATAAGGTCTAAAACTATTTGTACCCCGAGTTTACACAAAATACGAAAAACGATAATAAGTCTTGCACTACTGTAATAGGGACTAAAATTGATTATGTTTTTATAGGTTCAAATAATAGAGGCTAACCTAGCAGCTCAGGAGAATATAATAAACAAACTGACGTCTGTATACGCGGCGTACGGAGACTCCAGGCGATTGCTGTCCGATGTACTGAGGAAACGAGAGGGACTTATTAATGGTAAGTGATTACTGTCTAGATTATTATAAAGATCTAATTTTCTAGTGGCCTGATAATTTAGAGACGTAATCAGGGTGTGAAATAAGTAACTTTATCATTTTTGTGTGCCATTGAAGACATTAGTAGTAAGAAATAGCCAATCTGTCATGACTTTGACTTCAAGTTTATAATATTATATTAGCTACTTCCGCGCGATTTCACACGCTCTGCTCAGCTCCTATTGGTCGTAGCGTGATGTTTTATTTGCCTGTGTTATATGTTTTAGTTTGCCTATAGCTATCCTCTATAAATGCACTATCCAACACAAAAATAATTATTCAAATCAGACTTGTAGTTACGGAGATTACCACGTTCAAACAAACAAACAAAAAACAAACTCTTCTGCTTTATTAATGTATAAGTATAAGTACAAGATGTTAAAATCGTTAAAACACTTTCTCATGTCTTATTCAAACTGACATTACCTTCAAAAAGGTCTATTATGAAATTTATTATGTCGTTCAGGAAACTTATGAAATATTTTAACCTTACCAGAACAAACCTCAGTGAGTGAAATCACATTAAAATATTGTTCAATGTCAAAGTCAAAGTCAAAGCGTTTATTGCAACTAAGTGTACAGATGATGGTTTACATTGTAACATTTTTACATAAGTACATACACAATCATTGTTATTAGTCAACATTGTAGGTAGATATCACAAATCACAAAGAAAAGAAAAAAATAATTGTCAGGTATAGATCACATTATAGTAATAATCAATTCAATAGGTATAAATTCTGTCGAGTTTAAGATGTCAATAATAAAATTATACAATGTCAAGGTAGTATAATGTTATGTTATGTCGAGTAGGTATAATGAATCCGTCATACATTTTGTTTCAGCATTGATAACATCGTACGATTCATACACGGAGTTGCTGGGCAAGTCGACCAAAGGGTTAGAGTTCTACAAGAAGTTGTCGCACAACGTGACCGCGCTACTGACCAGGCTGCGGGCCATCGCGCAGGTACAGGGCGAGGAGAGGCAACAACTTGTCAATGCCGCCAATGAGAAGGGTAACTAACTATTATGTCATTAATTTTGTAAGCTACTTGTTTGTAGGAAATTTTGTAAGCTACCACGGCCGAGCAGAAAATCGACGTGAAACAACACTTGCGGGTGATGTTACCGGAGGCTCAATTACCCCCCTCTCCAATGTTCTCAATCCCTGAAACTTCATATATAATCCTTAAATTCTCATCCCCCAAAAGGCCGGTAACGCACTTGTAACGCCTGGGGTTTTCCAGGTTCATGGGTGCTCGTTTACCGGGTTACCCCACAAAAACAAACATCATAGTCAACTTAGACATCATAGACAACTTAGAAAATCCTGAATGGAAAATGGATTTTTTCCTAGGTCTGATTTTTCTCCAGTGTCGTTGCCGTTATGAACTTACAATGTCTTATTTACATCTCATGAAAACAAATTAAAAATCACAGAGTCGTTCCGTTGTTACGTTTCGCAGTAGCCATATAACCAATAATAAATAAAAAAACAGTAAAAGGCATTTTTGTTTTGTTACTTTTAAAATCGACTCGACATTCAACAATATGAGTAATTTAAAATGACGTACAGCATCGACCCCGACCCCCGCGTCGAGTCCGTCATCAGTCCACGTCCCCGAGCCGTCCCCGGCGCCTGCGGCGGCGGGCGCGGCGCCCGCGGGCGGCGGCCGGAAGCTCAAGGACTACCTGCCCTACATGAAGAACAGGACCGGCCGGACTGCTACACCACAAGGTCAACATTATAACTTTATACAATCCTTTAAAAAACCTTAAATACGGCTAAAGGCACATCTTCAACTGACCACCCAGTCACTAGTTGTTAACTGGGTTAAAACACTGATCACAAGTCTTGTCCCATCTGATATTTTTATTGGATAGTTGGGAAGTATTGCCGTATGCATATTGCATGCATATAACTATGTTATCCTACTTAGTTTGGGGCAATAGTCATCATGAAAATGAATAGTAAAAAAGACTATCAATCACTTCAACTAAATACAAGCTTGGTTGTATAATAATTATAATTTTATATTACAGCACCCGTGGACCCCATTCCCCTAGATTCTTACTACCCTGACAGCATATATCCTACATCCGTACGACCTACACCCGTCGGCTCCGAAGGTATGTTAACACATCGACGTCATCTAATAATCATTATTCAAAATAAAAGTTTAAAATAATACAAAAAAATATTTAATAACGCGATATAGCTCTTGCAAGACTGATGTACTAAATACTGTATCGTCTGGACCACTAGATCGTCGGGTAGTCTACGCCGAGGTCGCGCTTAAAGTGTCTCAATTTAAAATAATAAATATTAAAATATTACAATGAATAATTTTTCAAAGTTACACTAAGAAAATACACCTTATGACCTAGGAAGTAAGAGTTAGTACTAGTATATGACTGCGAGGTATTTGTCAAAGACTAATTAGGCTAAGGTGACCGTATACTATGTATCTATCAGTAGTTACATAGAAATATTTATATAGAAGTATTTATATACTTTTATCAGTAGTTACATAGTTTACAAATGTGTCGAACGATTTACTCCAGGCAGTAAATAATCCCTATTTGTTCCAGCCGCAGACGCAAGTCAGATGCAATTACCAGACGGAGTGGTAATGCCCCAACTACAGGCCGTGCCCAGTCCGTACGACCGGTACTTGTACGGTCCGACAGACACAGACCCGTACGCTATCCCCTCAACCTACCTATTCCCAGCCACCAGCAAGTTTGAGAAACCACAAGAAGACCATAACTACGGATACACAGCATACACACCGTCACAGTTTTCAGCTAATTCCTCGGAGCAACAAATATACTCGAACCCTTACTACTCCAATTCTTACGGTCAGCACAATAACACAGCTGTCACAGACTCGCAAAACTTCTCCAATGTGAGTCACAATGTTCCCAACCAAGGTTACGAGCCCTATATAAACCCAATGGGTCCTATACCAGAGTCGTCTCTCTCAGCCGCCTCCGCCTACAGCTCGGGGAACCAAACCGACATTATCACGAACTTTGCACAAATGCAGGTGAAGTCTGAACCAGAGTATGGCGCGGATTATACACAGACGTTCTACAGTGTGCAGTACCCCAATGTATCGACACCGGGCTCCGCTGCCTACACCAGTGCGCCGCAGAACTCTAATACGAGCCTCACTCAGTCACAGATCAATTCTGAGTACAGTTCCCTGAACTATCCTTACAGTAACGAGTCCACTCAGTACAGCCAGCAGGTCCCATTTACGTCAGCGGACACTAGCTACAACTACTCCAGTACATTCGCGTCCACGTCCCAGGGCTACACGTACACTAACGCCATCACTTCCACCACCTCCAGCATCGCCAACTCCAGCCAGCATCCATACTCATACCCAACTGAAGTGGACTCCACCTACAACCCAGCTCTATCTCAGTTGGACGCCTTCGACAAACCGATAAAGTCGCACACGACAGGCGAAGCTCTCTCCAACTCTAGCTTCCAACCATCGTACCAGAACTATAGCTCCACCACTACCAATTACTCTAGCCAACCTGAGCCATATCATCCAACCAGTACTTATGGCTATGTTGATCAAACAAACCCCAGCTACGCGCAGTCTTTCCAGAACCATCCGGGCTATAACTTCAACTCTGCTACAGGAAACTATGAGTACAATTTTGGATCACAAAACTCTTTTTCTGGCTTTGATAACACTGTACCAGACAGTGCTAACTATCAGCCGGCGGAGAAGGACCAGGGTTGGGGCCAACAAGCTATATACACTAGCGCTGGGAAGATTGGGACATGTGAAACTGTACAGTCTCCTACTGATAGCTCACAGATAGTGCCACAGATGCCCGCACAGCAACACATGCCTTCGCAGCATCAAATGCCTTCACAGCACCAAATTCCTGGTCAGCAGCAATTGCCCGCGCAGCAACAAGTACCCGGACAACAACAAGTGCCTGGTCAGCAACAAGTGCCTGGACAGCACCAATTGCCCGGGCAACAACAAGTACCTGGACAGCAACAAGTTCCTGGGCAACAACAAATGCCAGCGCAGCAACAATTGCCCGGGCAACAACAAATGCCCGGGCAGCAACAAATGCCTGGACAACATCAAGTGCCCACACAACAGCAATTGCCTGCGCAGCAATCTATTGACTCTCAGATATACTACAACAGTGCTTACGGGTACCAGGCAGCCACTACACCTTCTCAGGAGCCGTCAGACCTTCAGCTCGCCAACAACTACGTACCGAACGTGAACCAGGCGGGATACGTGACGTCACACACTAACCAGACCGGGTACACTGCGAGCAATACAAACCAGACTGAGTATGTAGCAAGCCATACGAACCAAGTACAATACGTGCCGTCTAACACCAGCACCAACAGCCAGGCTGGGTACATGACACCCAACACTAGCCAACCAGGATACGTGGCCCCTAACACCAGCCAGACAGGATACGTGCAGTCTCCACAAGACCACCACGTCCCGTACAATACCAGTCAAGGTAAGCTTTTATGAGTAATTTGTACCAAAGACTATTGTAATATTTATTTTGTGGAATAAACGGATTTCAAGTAAAAAGGAATTTTATTAACCATTGCAGTGTCGACAGAGAATCACAGTGTAAATGAGCAAAAGTTAGAGAGTGATACTAACGTAGATAGTGAAGCTACGAGTGACGAACAGAAAGTACCGGAGAAGGCTGCGGTTGAAGTTCATAAGACTCCAGAGGTCAAATCTAAGTTGACAGCCTTCGATCTGTTGTCCGATATAGATTTTACAGTAGAACAAACTCCTTTAATGCCGGAGATCAAGGTCCCGCAGATATCTGAAAGTGCTATTCGGAAGCCTGTAGCTCCTAAAGTCGAGCCTGAGAAGAAGATACCAATAAAGAAGGAGGTTATTGAGAGACCTGCAAAAAGGGACCTGTTCTCCGACCCTAGTTTGCTGAACAAGTTTACTCAGGAAGTGAAGAATTTGCAGAAATTAACTGATTCTTTGACTGATAAGTCGCCGAGTGGTTTGACTGTGTTAGATGCTAAATGGAAGTCCTTCCAAGATTTCCAGGTAAGTAAAGCTTCTAGTTTTTGTTTCCTTGTTTTGCTGTCATCATTTTAGGGTGCAGGCTTTTCTGGGATTCTTCTTTGCTTTGCTCATATTACTTGGGACTTCATGTTTAATCTAGTCATTAATGTGAAATTTTCTAATAACTTCTGGTTTCTCAAACATTTATCTTCTTCTTCATTTTAATGTCTAATAGAAATACTAATAAGTTATAATATGTAAATTAATGTTTATTCTCCTACTTGTATAACGAGGGATCGAAATTATCTTGTTCCAATTTGGCTTTGGAATGTTGTTGACACATAATTGTCACCAAAACCTCTTCAAGAGTCTGGAGTCGTATCTATGCTAAACAGGCGAGAACTATAGTCTTCTTTCAAAATAATTTAAAAAAATCTATATATCTAATATGTCACGATTCTTAATTAAAAACATTCAATACTAACGTTATACGCTTGGGTGACTCCCCAATAAACTATTATTTAATAATTGTTAATATTTTAGACAAAGCAGAACATGACGAGGTCCAAGACCATAGCCATGCAGCACACTAACGGCAACATAGTGACGGAAGTTGTGCCGTTCGATGACTCCCGCCTCACGCTCAAGTCTGATCCCGACGCCTTTATCAACGCCTCTTATTATAAGGTGAGACAATTATTATAAAACATAACACATTATTTAATTCTTTTTTACGTAACTGTCTGTTTGCTGTGTTATGATTGTGCTATGAGCCCCTGTCGTGGCTGGAAATTAGTAGAGTTACCTCGTCAAACAGTTACGTCATGAACTAAACAATATTAAATTTAATATGCTTCACGAGAATTGTTGCACTATTTTATTCTACCTCATACAACGACAGCCACATACTAAAAACCACTTAACTCTCCTTGTAAATCCACGATTCCGAAAAATCCAAAACATTTGTTCATACAAAAGTATTCTCTAAACATTACAAATAAGGTCTATAATAGAGTAAGTGGAGAGCAGTCACCGGTGACAGCTTGGATACTGCAGTTTACATTTTCAACCAATGTCAAAAATAAAAAATAGGGAATTCATTTTTTTCAAATCTAAAATGAGGTCGGTTTTGAAGTTCATAAGTGTGCGTTTGTTACAGCAACTAGCCTCATGGTGCATTCCACTAGTGATATCGAAGAACCCGACTGAGTCTGAGTACGGTATCTTCTGGAAAGCAGTACTAGAGAATAAAATTAGCTGTATTGCTTGTTTGTTGAGTGAAATCGAGGTGAGGATCGTTTTTTTACTATTAATACGAATTTTAAAATGACGTAGTTATGCGTTTGTATGTTTTTTCGTTCGACGTGGAGGACTTCGGGGAGGCCGTACGATGCTGCATGCAACCCCTTGGTCCCCACGATATCCCTTAACGTTTCTATCTTTACTAAATTACCGATACTTTACCAGATGCAAGGCAAGACCTACTGGCCAACAGCTAAAGGCCAATCCCTGGAGCTATCCGGTCTGAAGGTGACATTGGACGAGGTGACGTGCACCGTGCACTGGACGGAGAGGAAACTGACCGTTGCCAGCGGGAAGACTGTACTTAATGTCACTCATTATCAGATCAATGTGTGGCCTGCTAAGTGAGTATTTTATACATTTTTTAAGGGTTATGGCGGTAAGCGATTAGCAACGGTCGCTGCTCATGGACATCAATGACAGTTATTCTAAATAACAAATGGACATAAATTCTGCGCACCAGAAGAGTAGCAAATGCGATGCATATTGGCGTGAAACAACGCTTGCTTTGTGTTTCTCCTTATCAGTAAGGCTCCCGGAGACCTTATCCTTATCCCCTCCACATTCTCAATCCTTAGATCCCCAATTCCTAAAAGGTTGGCAACATATTTGTAACTCATTCGGTGTTTCGATTGTCCTTGGGCGGCGCCGATAGCTTACCATCTAAATTAACTAAAAATCACGAGTTACGTGCGTAAATATACTGAGAAAAGCTCTACGAGTTTCGAACCACGGAGGGGTTCTTCCTTATAAGCAGCATGTGCGGTCGCAGCGATGTCGTGCAGCCTACTGGCTAGCGTTGGCGCTCACCTCGGTGTTGCTACTTGCGATGCGTGTGCTCATTTACCACTGTATTCCATAAACAAAACCCTGAACTAATATTTTTTTCCACAGGATCGTTTGCTCCCCCCTGGTGCTGCTAGCAGATAAGATCCTAAGCCAGACGTACGACAATAAGCTGTCGAACCAGTTGTGTGGGGGGTGGTTACAGTGCGGGGCGGGGGCCGGGCGGAGCGCTGTACTAGCGCTGCTTATTATGGCCATGTGCCAAGTCAGAGCTGGCCAACTGGAACTCTGTGGTCAGTGATGTGATAGTTTCTATCCTGAATTCTATTCTATCCTACGTCCTATTAATGTTACTTCTTCGCGCAAAAACTACTGAATGGGGAACTTGTACAAATGATGGAATAACACAATGCATTCTTTTATACCTCTAGTAGTACTAGCTTTTACCTGCGGCTTCGCTCGCGTCACAAATGGATAAAAGTAACCTATGTGACATATATCAATACACACAGCGCCATCTATACCAATACTTTTGTTTTCCCTCAGGAATATCAAATTTTTACGGGATAAAAAGTACCCTATTATTTAAACCGAACTTCTAACTTTACGTCTGCAAAAATTCAAAACAATCGGTTTAGTAGTTACGGCGTGAAAGTGGAACAAACAAACAAACTCACTTTCCGATTTATAATATTATATAGTAAGGATAGACGAATACACACGCTGAAGCTGGTAATTTATATTGGATTGGAATGTGCGGTAGTTATTTAACTAGGATGTGTTCTATCTGAAAATGATATTTGGAACTATTTGCCAATTCACTATGTCTAATCCTTCTTCTAAGTACTACTTTGACACATTATTCACAGAATCAGAGATAGAAAACTAATAAAAATATCTATCCCCAGATATGTTAGACGCGGGCTGCTTGAACCTGTACAACCACAGGAGCAACGTGTTGGAAGACACCAAGTACCTGGCGGATGCGTACAGAACTGCTTTATTCTACGTACAGGGAGTTCTCTGTTCTGGTGAGTCAATTCAATTTAAATAATGATGATGTTTTGTCTCCTCTTGGTAAGATTTTCATAGATTGGCATAGAAATCTGCGCAACATTATAAGTTAATATGCAATATGTTGATTGTTTCGGTGTAGAAGTCTTCGACTTTCAATATGTTGAGCAATATTTTTTCATCATCTAGTTGTGCGTCAAATATTCCCTAGTAGATACAACAAGACTAGAATTCTATGCTAATTTCGGCTGCAAAGTATAGGTTAAACTGATACTTTGATGTCCATCATTCCATCAGTGCTTTTTGTCAACCTCCTTTTGTTAAGGTATATCTCCGAAACAGAAAGCAGTTAGTTATCTCTGCTCTCATACCTTCATTATTACAGGGTAAATTGTGAAAAAAATATATTAAATTCAATATACATTTACTTTACATGAAGTGTTTAATATAATAATATATGAATAAACAGTAGAAGTGGCTTGGGGTAATTGCATTACTTGGTAGTGAAGTAGTTTCTTCGAGACAACATGATAACACTTAGTAATTTGTTTTTAATATTTTCCTCCTCTACGTTTATATCTAAGATATATTTCTTAACAAGTATGATATACAAAATGTAAAGAACAGTTACTTTTTAGAATCTCGCTACATAAAGTGTATTTACAAGCTAGTCAAATTCAATACTTTTTTCGAACTGTCAAAAACGACAGTTTTCTATGAATGTTGTACGGGATTGTGTATCGTGACGTCACGTTTTTTTAGCGTCAAACAATATACTTATTTCTTCACCTAATTTCACTGACGGACTGACTGACAGACTATTATTTATTTTGTATTTGTTAACGTTTCAAAAGTACCAAACTATGGTTTAATTGAAATAAATGCTTTGACTTTGACTGACTTTGACTTTGACTTCAAAATTTGCTGGAAAAATACTAAAATTAAGTTTGTCATAAAACCAATTAATGAAAGTGTGATTTTTTAAATGTTTTATTGGATTGAACAGTCGAAATAATTTATTTTTTATTTATTTGTGTGATCTACATATTGTTGTTCCGGGTTTGGGTATGATGTGTATAGGACTTGCCATGTTTGTAAGTATACTCACGACACAGTAGAATAATATTCAAGGTGGCCACATAAATAAATATTGATAACTTTCTATTGCCCGCGACTTCATCCGCGTACAATGTGATTCCTGTTTTATCACTTGGGAGAATTTAATCTGGATAAAAAGTATTCTATCACCTAAGTCAGCCCATGCCCTGCCTGTATACCAAATATCATCAAAATTCGTTCAGTAGTTTCAGCGTGATTGACGGACAAACATCCAAACAAAGAAATTATCACATTTTTATAAATAATGTTAGTATGATGATATCACGATTTATTAGAACAAATAAATAAACAAAAAACACAAACTGTATTGAATATCAAGTTATTGCATATAGGTTAATCGTTCTGCCCAACCCTAATATTATCTACTGATCAGATCTTCAAACTTTAAGCCAAGTCAAGCTGGGTGACGCACGAGATAATATTGATTATTAAGAAAGTATTAAATGCACGTAGTTTATTCCGTAAAGGGATAAGCAGAGAGGCATATACGAAGTACCTAAAGAAACTTTAATTCGTTCTATTGCCATGTAAAGGGAATGTAATGGCAAACAGGTAGGAATTCTAGAATTTCGTTCTGCCTGTGAATGAACCCAAAACCATGTGGTTAAAAAATAATTTTGTTTTGGTTAGGGGGTCATCAAGACCATGATTTATTTTATGTAGATTTTTTTGTGGTAGTATAGACCTAGTTACAGTTAAACCGACACGGAAATGAAATCCTTGATCCCTTGCTCGAGTCACGATCAACCACGAGGCAGACAAACAAATAAACATGTTCATTATCATTAACAGTAATTAATCTGTATTCTGTAGGTATGATTCATTATTATTTATTTATCAAACGTTTACGTGATTACAAGTAACGATAATATAATCTAAAAATAGACATTAGTAGTTTTCCCAGTGTTAATCGATAGGAAACTAATGGTCGCGTAAATAGACTAAAATCTAAATAGAAGTATAGAGGCATAAATATAATATAATTAACCTTTTAAACCTTATCCTTAAATACCTTTGTTTTACCTCTAAGTAATACGCTTATCGATTCAACCAATAGTCTTGAAATGTAATTTAATAAATAAAAAAAAAGTTAAGTCATTTGTTAATACTGCTACTTGTAACAAAGATCAACATAATTAATATTTCTGAATGAGCTTTCATTTCTGTTATCACTAGATGGCACTAATCGGACGTTAGGTTTGACCACAATCATCCACCAATTTGTTTTTGCCCTAGAGTTAGCGGCATACTGTCTATGCAATCTGTTAAACAGATTCTTTTCTAAGCCGATTCTTTTCTATCCCAAAGGTACCACAATGTTCAACGGCGAGGCGGTGTCCCTACCATCAGGAGCGGCAGTGCTACCCCCAGTAACTCCGACACCAACAAACGCTTCCACTGCTAGCCAAAAAACAACGAAATTCTCCCGCGAATCCTTCGAAGAGATGAAACAATCCCCAGGGTTGAAGAGTGGAGATATGAAGGATCCTCTCAACTTCCTCGACCCACTCTGGAGTCTCAAAAAGAAGTGAGGTGCTGTCCTTTAGTCGTTTCAAACGATTTAGTGGTTTATGACGTCAGGAGTCAGTGATACTCAACTTTCGGACCGCAGTTTGGATCTCACGCTGTATTGAAAAGAAAAGTTGCTTGTCTTGCGGCCCCTGATAAAGTAAGGTTGAGTACCCCTGCAGTAAATAGATAGAGCATTGGACAAAATTTATAGTATTTGTGATTATCTTTCTCAAACACGAAGTGCCGATTGTTTTTGAAACGTTATTTTAGATTTAATGCTATTACGTGGTTCTTATAAAATTAACCCGTTGTGTCTCAAAGGACGAAATAGAATATTCAAATTGTAGTTAGACATTCATCTTATGAAATAGGATTTATAACATAAGGTAATTCCACGTTAATTATTATTTATTTTATATTATTCTGTAGATAAAGTTGTATTGTAATTCGCATTTAATTTGACATTAGCATATCGCGATTATTATGTATGGAGTTTGTACCGCAAATCGATAAAATGAAGAAATCAAAAGATTTTCACTTCTTTCCAAGGATTAAAGATATCAACATAAATTTTTAATTAATTATCAGTGGAGTAGATATAAAAAAGAAATTATGTAAAAACCCTGTCAATATATTGTAGAAACAGACTTAAATGTGTATATGTATGCTTATGTATCTGAAAATGCAAACTGCGATATTGTCTCAATTTTACCGAATTTCCGAAAAGTATTATTTTATTGTATTAGAAAGGGCTTTGTATTATGTATTTCTTGAATACAACCTTACTTTTTAAATTAATCAGATAATACGGCTTACCCACGTAACTGTTCGAGCTTGCTCTACTAATTTCGAGTTGCGACCGGGGTTCATAAACGTGATCAGATCATCCGACGTCGGGTAGCCAATAGATACATGAGTAAGCTGTATTATCTAATTAATTATGTTAATATATAGACTATAAAATCTTAAGTTTATTTGAAATGGGTCACTGTTCTCATAAATTTGAAAAACTTAAGGGATCAACGTTTTCAATTGCAGAAATAAATCCGTCGTTGTTACATTTACAATTATTATTGTGACGATGATTATTAGTATAATGGTGCAATTTTTAAGTATTTTTCATAATAAGTTTCAAGTATAGAAAAAGACATTTCCTTTTTTTTTTTCTTCTTTGGCAACCGAGTCTCCAAAAAGACATTTACTTGAATTATTTCTGTACCTTAGGTTGGTTGACGCACGTGTCATTTTATTCTCTGTCGTGTGCCATAAAAACAAAACCTTTTAGGCTCTTAAAGATTTTAGAGATTGCTTATATAATAGAAGAACTGATTTTGTATCATCATTGTAGCCAGAAAATTATTAGACGTATTCATTCTTCTGAGCAATTATGGAATTTATAATTAGACATAATATGTATTTCAATAGTTTCTCTGGTATTATTTAGCACAACAAAGTATTGGTAATGATACTACATTCCTTGTTTTACTTTATGTTAGATATAAATAACATTAAATGACGTAATTTCTATGTATTTGTTAAAAGTTTAAACAATGTTGATATTTTCAATCGGATTTGAACCTCGCACTACTGAGATAGCAATAGCCACGCACCGACAAATATCAATATTGTCAATTTTATAGTTTTTGTATCTAGTACCTAATCATGAAAGCAGCTTAATGAAATGTTCGAACATTATTATTGATAGTTATTTGAATTTTCATACATTTTAATAAAAAGTTAATTTTGTATTATTACTTATAAAGTGTAACGAATATTTAATACGTGTAGTTGATATTCATAGCATATACTCAAATAAAATTATTTGGACTGACTGCTTTTGTTTTATTACAAGGAATTCATTTCCCTATCTCGAGTTTGTGATTGTGATATAATCGCTTGCTGATAACTTATCTAGGATACCGATTTATGGAGACGGATATTAGCTACTTATTGCTACCCTGACTGAAATGTCGCAGGGTTTCTTTGTGAAATAGGAAAAGCTGGGAAACTAGGAAGCGGTTCCGGGGTAGGGCGCGTGTTATCGCGGAGGCTGCGGCCCGCGACCGGCCAGCGAGCCCCGCGTGCAGCGCGCCAGTCCGCGCCGAGCCTCCGTCGCCGCACCACGTGTCACGTGGCGCCACTACCGCCGCGCACGCGCGAACGCGATCGAAATATCAAAACATAACAAAAAAAAATTTCACGCCACCCACTTGCCAACGAAAATTGACAGTGACGTTTCGGGGGGAGCACGGTGACAATAACACGCATTCGTATTATGTAGTTTACAAAAATTATTTACGTGAATATAGTGAAAAATTTTCAGTGGTACGATCAACTGGTGAATTCTGTGCGATCGATTGGTGTCGCAGTGATTGTGTTCAGTTCCGACGATGGATAGTGGCAGCCCGGCAGGTTAGGCGTGATGATGCGCAAAGAGAACGCCGGCGCTCCCGGCGGGACAGAGTTCTCGCTGGACGCATCCGACTGCATCACGCTGCAGCAGATCTTGCAGGCCTTCAACTCGACCATCAGCGAGGAGCATGCGTGGGCCCTGTTCTACCAGGCGGCGCGCTGCTTCCAGAAGTGCATGTCGGAAGGGGCCACCTGTTACCTGGCCACGGAGCCCCGCCATGTGCTGCTGCACAAGGACGGCACCGTACACCCCACCACGCTGCTGAATCCAGGAGGTCAGTCCATCATATACCCTTCCTTAGTCTACTTTATATTCACGTCTAATTCGAGTGTGATGAACTTAGATAACTTCTTTATTTTATTACACAATTTATAGATGACTAAAACTATGCATTATCAGACACGTCAAATATGGGTTTATCATCAAACTAAAACAGTGATAACAGCGGTAGGTACTTACTTAATTTATTTATTCAATTAATAAAACATTGGCTCCCAAGTACTGTGTAGCGAGCAGCTTTCTGTGTAGCTAATCATTTTGTATTATCAGGTAGTTAGGTAGAAAATGTTTTGGCGTATTAGTGACCTTGTGTTATCAGTGAAGTTGCAGCAACAGTGTGAAGTGCCTATTGTTACTAATTAGCACTCCACACAATTATTTAAATCGGACCGTTTATACGATTACACGTGACTTATCAAGTTCACTAACAACTCATTATTGATAAAATCCTGTTCCAATTCCATTTGTGTTCACAGTTTTTTGCACTTATTAACTGGAATACTGGAAATCCTTATACTGTACGTACAGTATCAATAGATTCGTTATCGAATCAAAATTCCACTGTTTGGGCAAGTAGAGGCAATATTTTAGCCCATTATCGCAGAACTCGCAAATTATTTCCCCATCTTCCTTCACGACCGCGACGTTGGTACCCGGAAAGATTGGCGTCCGATACTCTGTACTATAAGCAAGCATTCTAATAATCATGCACGGCATAGTTAAGATAGCACACTCTCGCATAAAACCGCCACAGACGGGCCTATCTCAGCATTCTTACCTTCGTATCAAAGCATTCATCTATATTTTACGAAGACCTAAGATTATTAAGTCTAACTATTGGAATTTGTATACGTGAAGAAACTCATTGACTGGATTAGCTGCGGTCAGCTAATACTGGGTTCATGGATGCGCTGTTATCTTCACTACGTCTTATGAATGAGAAGAATATAACCTTCCCAAGTTAGACGGCCTGGCCAGCATTTTATTGCTAAGTATGATAATTTTATCATCGTGTAAACTTGTATCAGCAGACCTACCGCGTCGTCAATAGTTTGTTGTTGACTTCTTAGTGAACTATAAAGGATACTCCTAAGTATTTTCTATGACGCGAATTCAATAGAGAATTTATAAACACGTTTTCATGTGGCTCATTAAGATAATACTCCTTATGGAACCTTAGGATTTTGTTTCGAGTAACAAGGCTACTGATTAAAACTAAAAAAGATTTACCTAGATTGAATTAACGAAACAAATAGGCTTACAACCATGTTTCCTACAGAACATCAACCTGGTATGGTGTTTAAAGCCCCAGTAAACAAGTAAACGAGACATTTCATGAGTTCATGACAAGGCATTACTTTTATAAAACTGTAACAAAGTAATATGTCAGTCGTTGCTCCCATGTCTAGTTGGCACAACATTTTCTATGCCACAAAACATGTCCAAATGAATACTTAAAGAAACCGCCTTGTATCGATCCGCGTATACTCATAAATGTTCCTATTTCCATTTACGTTCTCACGATTCACGTTTACGTACTACGTTAGGCAGGCGGCTCCCTTCCACGTCAGTTTTACGTGGAATTCTGTTGTTTACTTCTGAAAGTTTAACCTGGATGGTACGCAAGTACTCCATTCACTGATTAGTTTGGCCAAGTAAAATTAGGGGAATGGGGCATAGCAGGGAGATGTCAATCTGTTCTTACGTGCGTTTGTTTGTGTGGTTTGTGACGCATTAGCTAGTAGTATCATAAATAAATATCAATTAGTAGGTGACCTCCTGAACTTCGAACCGTAGAATCAATAAAAGTTCGGTTAGAAATAAATAATTTTATCTCATCGCGATTTTTTGCAATATTTTTACAGTTACGTATTCTGGTGTTTCGTGTTATCCTAGAAGATTAACTTTAGGAAAATAAGGCTTAAAGTAATTGCTGAAATGTATGGGATAGAAGTGAATGACTACTCGCATGATTGTGTCCTTTTGAAGTGATGCAAACAAAACTGTAGTTCAGAACAAAAACAGTTGAAGCATAAACTGGACGGGTTGAAAGAACTAACAGGATTAGCTTTACGAACCCATGCCTAGTCTTTCCAAGCATTCATAACAGCTTGAACTACGTGACTGTATGCAAGTTTAATTTAGCGTCGAAATATAATTAGTGGCTTTCAATGCCTATGTATGTGAGTAAAAGTTTCTTATTTAACTAATGATAAATAGGCAAATAATCAACCGTCTATTTGATATACAACTATGGTCAGCAGTGTTAAAATAAAATAGGAGATAGTTTGCCGCTGTAGATATGTACTTTGAAAGAGAATGAAAATCAAGTAAAATATGTCCCGTTTTAATAGTTATCATTTTTATTCGATAGTAATAAACTTTTACTGTAATAAAATAATATAACACAAAACCTAGGAAGTCCATGTTCATGTCTACACAAGAACAGGCGCACATATCCAATAACAAATGCCTAATCAAAATGTATTGAAAACTAGTCCACGTTCACATCTCAAGTGTCCCGGGTAACATTTCAATAACGCCTTCACACAAATAACTGATGCCAGTGATTACTAGGTTGGTCTGTTTCCACGTAGCTAGAAATTCTAGACCTAGGCGCCATTCCTTATCGCACCTTTTAACTTTAACACCGCGGTCTTTTTACACGCTTCCTAGAATACTCGTATCAACATTTTATTAATACTTAGTTATTATTAAAAGGCTTAATGTTACCAGGCAAAGTCATAAAGGGAAATCAATGATGTAAAATGCGTTGAACTTTATAATGTCAAAGGATAAATTCTTGCAAATGTAACACTGTTTCTGCATTGACAAGGTGAATCAAAGACTGACCTCGTTTTAATCGCAGATGATCATGTAAACACGAAAAATGGTGTTGTTTATCTTCCTAGTGACCTTTCACGTCACTTGCAGTAAAAAGAGTTAACCTTCTCATTTGCATAAAAGAAAAATATGCAGAACTGCCCTTGAAAACTAGGAAAACGTCGCACTATATTTCCCCGACGACCTTTTCAGAATAAAGCTGCTTCGTGGTATATTATTGTCGTATTAATCACTGACAGCTGGTCATAACCCTCTGTGGCCGCACATAAAATATCGCGCCGCAGGTTGAGAGCCACTGGGGCGGCCCGAATGTACCCGACGCGGTCACACCAATCATCGCTGACAGCGCTCATACGTTGTATTGCCTTGCAATTTAAGCGATTTTGCATGCATGTTTCTATTAGGCTATTTTCTGCTGACCTATATTCATAGAATACTGCTAACAAGATCGATTTAGTGCGGTGACAATATTTTTTTAGGTATTCGAGATATTAACTATCGATATTGAATCGATTATTGCGCAATATTAGTAATCGATTTTCCGATGTTAATTAGTTACGGTATTTTTTGTAGGTTAAGGAGTCAATTAAGTGATTATTGAGAGTTTTCGCTAGAATGTCGCGGTTTGGTTATGTTTTTTAAAGTTTGATTATCTTCTGTATTATTTAATGTATTCCGTTTTCTTTGTATGTATTGCCTTGAATCTGTTACCTGTCCCTCTTTTATGTTATGTAATTCAAAGTCGTCTGCAAATGAAGAGTCTAGTACTTAAAACGCAGACTTTCTTTAGTGAAACGATGCGGCATTATTTATTGCAGATACACTCAATTTTCGCCTGTCACTTATTATTATTGATCCCAGATGTAAGAGTGTCGAGCCAATTGGTTAACAGTCGTACCGAGCTGTCTGTAAATAGGTTAATCAAAACACATCAGGACCCATTTCCTCACATGATTTAAGCGCTTTAAGTTGATTTTTCTTTGGTATGAACTTTACTGACGAGCTGCAATATTAACTATATGCAGAATTTGGCATTGTTTATTTTCGATTTTGAATAACACTTATTTGAATAGGTATGTTCACTGTGTAGATATTTGGAGGGTTATATATTAAACTATAGTTTCAACTTTGTCTTTGTCTGTATCCTAATAAGTTTGGTTGCGAATGTCACGTAACGTTTTGCGGTTATTCAAAATAGACAATAGTGTTAGCATTTTTTGTCATCTGTCTAATTTCGCGTGAAGCCTAAAAAATATAGTGAATCATTAACCAGATTAGTTTGTGGCAGACAAAGACTAAGTACCGTACGTTCAAGGTTGCATAATAATTCGGTAGGTGCTAACTGTGCTAAGTGATCTTTTGGTCTAGATTTGTGGGTGTTTAGGATTGATTTCCGAACACAAGCTCTAATCTTATTTATCCTAATACGTAACTTAACTATGGGTTTCATTCCCGGTGACAATTTTGAATGGGTTTTTTTTTAAGGGAGAAAAATCATCAAATTACTGCTCCCGCCTGGGTGAGGCGGGAGGGAGTGTCAGACTCTTACTGACTAAAAACCACCCCGTTCCTTCTCCTGCACGTCGAGCCGGAGCCCCGGTTACCCGTTAGGTTCTCCGCGACATTTTGAATGGGTTAGGTACGTTATTGTGTATTACGCACGGAAGTGTACAGGGCCAGGTGTATCTCATAACATTTCGTTTTATGATAATAATTACTTAACTAATTAACTTAGGGATCTATATTATTCATATCATCATCACTTCACCTATCTGATCTGATGTCGTGGTGGACTGGAGGTTTCAGGTGTCAGAAACATTTCAATGTCCTCGGTGGCATGTTAGTAAAACAATAGCGCGGTTCTGTATCGATCGTAGCTGCCTTGTCACGCGAATTTTAGCTAATAACTTCATAAGAGCGTTAATTACGTTCATGTTTAGGCTTAAACGTTAAGCTTTATGTTTTAAAACTTGAGGGATGTTTTAAGTAAAATAATTGATGAATAAGTACTGGGACAATGTTTAACCTAATATTTTGTATAATATTGTGACTTTAGACTTCTTTGCGAAGTAGTTAAATGGGAAGTTTTTTTGTTTCGATAGCATAGACAACACAAAATATAACATCCAACTTTTTAAGTGCATCTACAAA